TCTGTATTAATGAAAACCTTTCAGTGTTGGGGGTGGTCCATGTTTTCAAACTTCTTAAGGAGCTTCCTGAGGTCTTCAAAAGCTTCCACTAAGCCCTCCACTGTGAATTTTCTTGGCAATTCTCCTGCAGTGCGCTCCTGTTCAACACCTCCTCATTAGTCAGCGCCTCAGGAACCATCTCTAGGAGCGCCCAGCATCATCCTCACCCGCGGCTTGTTGATTTTTGTAGGTTCCTCATCCTTGGAAAATCCTTTGAAATCATGGAAAAACACTTTTTTTTTTTTTTTAAATCCTTACCTGAGGACATTTATTTCATTTTTTGTTCAGATAGAGTGGGAGGGAGAGGAAGAGAGGGAAACATTGATGTGAAAGGGACACATCAAGTGGTTGCCACCCACATGACCCAACCAGGGCCGGGGACAAACTGCAACCGAGGTACATGCCCTTAGCGGGAACCCAACCTGGGTCTCTCTGGACTGCAGGCTGAGGCTTTAACCGCTGAGCCAAACTGGCCAGGGCCATGGACAAACCCTTTGAGTATCATCTTCCAGATGCCATTCATATCCTCTTTAGTTGTGTTATTCCAAGCCCAAGCAGGGTCTTGACCCATTCATAGAGGTTGTGACCTTCCAGAATTCATGGGTGTCTCAGTTCCAGCAGTGGCCTGGGGAGAGATCCCCCTCAGGTAATGGTTATCAAAGCTGCCACGACTCCTTGCCCCATTGTTTGGATCAAAGAGGTGCTGTGGTCAAAGGGAGAAACACAACTTTGATATTGGGATGAAGATCAGTAACAGAAGGATGTGCGGGGACATTATCGACTTGAAGCAAAATCTTGAAAGGTCTGTTACTCTCCCCCTAGTACTTCTCCATTCGCTGGCATAGCAGCTCAGGAGAGCATCTTGGAAGAAAAGCGGGGTCTTCCATGACTTCTTGGTGTGTTTATTGATCTGCTCGAAGGCCCTGGGATTCTCACTCTATCAGACCACAGTGGGTTTCAACTTGTGGCCCAGAGCCTCGCTGCCCTGCTCCGAGCGACAGCCCAGGACAAACAGTCTCGGCTTCCGGTCAAGATGGCGGCACAGATAAAGGCGGCCTCCCCTCCCCCCACGACCGCAACACAACCGCCATTCGGCCGCCTACAGAGTTAAAGCAGCAGCCACACCGAGACTGGTAGGAGGGGCAGAGGGGTGCATGGGACGGTCCTCCCTGAGAGAGGGGCCCCGTCCCACACCAGGCCCCCAGCTCAGGGCCCCAGCGCCAGGAGGACAAGTCCCCATAACTTCTCACTGTAAAACCGGCGGGAACTGAGGGAGGCGGCGGCTGTGGAAGCCCGAGGCAGCTCCTCTTAAAGGGCCCGTGCACAGACTTGCTCGCACAACTCTGAGCTCAGGGGAGGAAGGTTGAGGGAGAGCAGGGAAGAACTGAGCTGTTTGGCCTCGGGAAGAGGGCTGGAGGGGCAGCTTTCTCCTGGACAGACGGTCTGTCGGAGGCCTTTGTTCCTTTGGTGAGCCCTTCCCTGGGGTGGCAGACAGAAGCCATATCTGGGACTCCAGCAACCTGGCTCACACTGGCGGCCCCGCCCTGCTGACTCCCTGAGGCCCCGCCCCACGCCACCCAGCTTTCGGACCCAGCCAAGCTGTTTCCTAAGGGTTTACCATAGGATTGGCTAGTCTTGGATCCTGCTTCAGAGTTTCCTAAAAATCTCTCAAACAAGCAGCATCTGGTCTCAGCAACCCCCATACCTCTCGTTAATGGCCCCAGGCCTGGCACTAGAAGCAACCAGCCTTGGTTCACAACTTGGTTTTTCCTGGACACCTCCAAGCCCAGCACAAGAAGCAGCCATCTGCAGATCACTTTGTAGCTTATGCCAGGTGGCCCCGGATAGAACACAGGCAGAGCCAGCACACCCAGTGGACAGCTTCAGACCACATCAAAACACCACCACCCAAACACCTCCACAAGTGACACACTCAATGAGTAGACTCTGTGGGTACCAGAGCCCTGCTCTGTGTGGTGGGTCCCTACACAGCTGATCCTCCAAGGTGGTCAGAGGCCAGTGGGCACAGCCAGTCCTTGTAGCTGATCAGCCTGAGTAAATCCCTCCCATTGACGTGTCACAGCAATCAAGACTCAAATACAACAGAAGGGTGTACAGTCCACACTAGGGGTGCAACTCGAGGGCCCAGCTGGGGTGATCAGGGAGACTGTGCCACTGGATCCTACAGGACACCTACAACAGTAGGCCACCCTACAAAGCCTAGGAAACATAGCAACTCTACCTAATACATAGAATCACAGGGAAGTAGCCAAAATGAGGAGACAATGAAACATGTCCCAAATGAGAGAACATAACAAAACTCAAGGAAAGAAACTAAACAAAATGGAGATAAGCAATATAACAGATGCAGAGTTCAAAACACAGGTTATAACATTGCTCAAGGAACTTAAGGAGAACCCCAAGGAACTTAGAACATCAACAACATAAAAAAACTAGTCAGAAATTAAGGATGCACTAACTGAAATAAAGAGGAAATCAATAGTAGAGTAGGTAAAGCCAAGAAGCAAACCATCAAATTGGAATATAAGGAAGCAGAAAACACCCAACCAAAACAGCAAAAAGAATCCAAAAAAATGAGGATAGTGTAAGAAGCCTCTGGGACTTCAAACGTGCCAACATTCGCATCATAGGGGTGCCTGAAGGAAAAGAGAGAGAGCAAGAAATTAAAAACCTATTTGAAAAAATAATGACAGAAAACTTCCCTAACTTGGTGAAGGAAACAGACATATAAGTGCAGGAAGCACAGAGAGTCCCAAACAAGTTGAACCCAAAGAAGTTCACACCACGACACATCATCAGCAAAATGCTAAAGGTTAAAGACAAAGAGAGAATCTTAAGAGCAGCGAGAGAGAAGCAGTTTATTACCTACAAAGGAGCTCCCATAAGACTGTCAGCTGATTTCTCAAAAGAAACTTTGCAGGCCAGAAGGGAGTGGCAAGAGATATTCAAGGTGATGAAAAGCAATGACCTACAACTGAGACTACTCTATCCTGCAAATCTATCATTTAGAATCGATGGACATATCAAGCATTTCCCAGACAAGAAAAAGCTAAAGGAATTCATCACCACCAAACCAGTGTTATATGACATGTTAAAGGGTCGTCTTGAAGGCAAAGAAGAACAAAAATATGAACAATAAAATGGCAATTAATACATATCTATCAACAACTGAATCTACAAACAAAAAGAGCAAGCAGAGCAGAAACAGACTCACAGATACAGAGAACTTTTTGTTGCTTGCCAGATGGGTGGAAAAGATGAAGGAATTAAGAAGTACAAATTGGTTGTTAGACTGATGAACCTCAAAGGGAAGGGGGATGAAATAAACCAAAGAACTTCTATGCATATATGCATAACCAATGGACAACAATAGTGTGGGGAGGGCAGGAGGAGAGGGTGGGGGGAAAAGGGAGAAACATCTGTAATACACTCAACAATAAAGATGAGATTAAAAAAAAAAAAACTATTTCTCTACCTTCTCCAGTCCTGTGGGATCTGCAGCCATAAGACCCGCTCACCACCAGAACCAAGGGGTGTGCCTGGGACACCAGATGTGTGCCCAAGCTCCTTTATGGGTGGTACCCATGACCCGGAGCAAGGCTGAGTCCACGGTGTTTGGAGAAGATTGCAGTAGGCCTCTAGCTGTGTTCTTAATTAGAAGCTTCTCAGGCTGAAGCTTTAAGATAGTACAGAGGCTTCTTTCACAGAAAGACTGGGTGCTTTTCAGCTTGCTGTGGCTTTCTTTGGGGATTCTTCTCTCAGGTGCAGGTCTTAAAAAGTGGACCCCCCATCACGGGGTTCAGACACTTCAGTCCTCAGGAAGGAGCTGGGAGTTGTGAGTGCCCTCCCGCCTGTGGGCCACCCCAGCAGGGTTTATGACAAGCTTGTGTCTCAGCCTCTTTCCCATTTCAATGTGGGCTTTTTTCTCATTTGCCAGATGTGTAGGGGTCATTCATCTAGTTATCAGGTTTCTTTCATAGGAAACTGTTCTGTATGTGGCTGTAGACTCGGTGTGCCCATGGGAGGAGGCGAGTTCCATGTTACCATCACTCTCTGTTTTAGGTGACAGCCATTCTAACGGGTGAGGTGATACCTCGTGGTTAGGATGTGCATTTCCTTGATGATTGGTGATGTTGTACATCTACTGTGAGGTCCTGGGCCTGACAGAGGCTGGAGCCAGGTGGACCACTGTGGGCTCCACAGCTGGGACTGAGGCCCGTCTGATGCATGGGCCAGCGAGACTCCTCCCGGGTCCCTTTGGGGGTCCTGCACCCTGCAGCTCCCACAAAGGCACTTTTGTTCATGGATGGGTGCCAACGTTTTGTTTTTGGAAAGTAGGACAAAAACGAGGATGTCTTAGGCCACCGTGATGCTAACATCACTTCTCAAAACAAACAAGACAGCTGTGCCTGTGGCAGTTCGTGCGTGTGGGAGCTTTACTAAGAGACAAAAGCCCAGAATCTCTAGATCCAAGGGCGCAGGAAGCTCTCGCAGGTGCAGCCAGATTGCCTTTTACAGCGGTTTACACTCCATCTGCGTACCTGAGACGCCGGTTTCCCCACATCCTGACGGCTTGGTTTCACCAGTCGGTGAAAAATACAGCAATTCACTGTGGCTCTAATTTGCATTTATGTTACTCTGAGGGAGGCTGAGAGGCATTTCCTGTGCATTTTTCTGCCTTGGGTTTTGGTATTTTACCTCTTGAGTCACTGAAGCTCCTTCCTTTTTGATAGGTGTGAAAACTTCTTAGAATATATTTTTGAAACAAGATTACCCAAGGAACCCAAGTATAAAAAGCACAGGAGGGGCACCGGTGTCCTGGAGCCAGGGCTGTGCGTGGGTGATATTAGGGTCTGTGACTCTGGGCAGCACCCAGACACCGATCTGGCCGATTTCCTGAAACTCACCTGCCTCTCCCTCCCTGGCCTCCATCTCTGCAGCTCATGTGCTCCTCGGTGCAGAAGGCCCTGTTTGAGGAGGAGGACCACGTCAAGAAGCTGCAGCAGAAGGTGGCCACCCTGGAGAAACGGAACAGGCAGCTCCGGGACCGGGTGAAGAAGGTCAAACGGTCCCTGCGGCAGGCGCGCAAGAACGGCCGCCACCTGCAACTGGTGAACCAGAAGCTCAGCGAGAAGCTGGCGGCCACGGCGGGAGCCCTCCCGCACATCAACGCCCTGGGGCGGGAGCCCGCAGGCAGCACCTACCTGCGGGGATAGGGCCACGCCGCCTCACCTCCCGCCAGGGAAGGGCGGTGAGGATGCTGCTGGACGTGCCCGTTTTTCAGATCTCGTAAAAGATACTTTCACTATGCGTTGGGTAGCGTCTAGCTGGTTGGAAGGGTAAGGCTTGCTGCCCCGACCTGGCCTGGTCAGACACGGAGCTTGGCAGTCCAGAGGCAGCACCATCCGGAGGCCGTGTCCTGCCTGGGGCCTGTCCTCAGCTTCCGGGGGCAGCCTGCAAAGCGCAGATATCGGGGAAAGAACACTTTAGACGCTAGACGTAGGAGACTTCAAGGAGCGTGGCCTTTCTTTCAGGAGAGAAGGCAGTGTGGTCTCAGCTCTGAGCTGCAGAACTAACTACTAGTCCGGAGCAGTGGGGCCGTCTGGGGTCTCATTTTCCAGATCTTCGGAAGGAAGACGGTGGCCGTCCCAAACATGCTCGTTACAACATGCGGGGTGTCCCTATTCCAGCCAGCATTCTCTCACAGCCGAGGCACGTTAGACTTAATGAGCTCAGCACAGGTCATTAAGAGAGAGAAATTATACCCACTTTCCAGTCCCGGCTCCCCAGAGCTGCAGAGGACGTCTAAGGGTCACTTTCATCAACAGGGACATGGCCTTTGTGGGCCTGTCAGGTTGCATCGCACCACATTCCGAGGTTGGAAAATCCTGAGTAGCATCTCAGCTCCTTCTAAATTTTAACTTAGTTTGCTTGGTAATTTCTTCCAACTTTTCCAGATCCACGGTGAGCTGTTCCAATACTCCGTGGACTTCTGTAAAGACGCCTCCTTATGTATCTTCTCCAGGCTCCCAGCTCCTGCTTTTTTTTTTTTAAACAAATGCTTTCCCCCCCCCCCCCCAGGGCTGACCTTGCCCTGGACTCATGTTCGTGCATCAGCCCACCTGCCATGACTGCACCTGTACACAAACAAAACTCTTCATCCTTCCCAGACAGACCACAGGTGGAGTGTTCACGTACCTGCTACTTGAGCGCTCGCCGTAGGCACATCTGGTCAAGTCCCAGCTGTTAGGAAGCGGTCCGCTGAGTGTCCTCTCCTGGTCAGCCTCGATGGCTGGACTTCCAGACCCAGTTTCCCTCCCCTGCCTTTCCAGATAGAAGCTTCTGGCCCGACGCTGGGGGATGGCTGCCCGCAGACCACCCAAGATGCTCCAGGACCTGCCTTTTGTGTCTCCATCGGAAACAGCAGCTCCTGTAAGACTCCATTCCACTAGGTGGCAGGCTCCGGCCTCAGGGGAGAACGCTATGCCCTGGACTGATGACACTGGAACTTTCTGCTCAAGGGCACTTCATGTCCAAGCTTCTGCCACCACTTTATTAGTCAGCGCTATGCTTCCTCGTGGAGTACGATAGAAGGCCGTCTTCTTCCTGGGGACGTCTCCTTAGAGTGGTTCCGCGTCCACCGAAGGGAGTGACAAGCCTGAGGGTGATTTACAGTCAGTGTTCGCAGAACTGTGGAAGCTGACTCTCTCCAGCTGCACCATGTTCTCCATTTTCAATAAATATGAGCAATATTTCAGCCACAGCAGCAAAGCGGTGTGTTGTCTGGGGTCAGGGAGATGTCAAGATTCGGCCTGGAAAGGCAATTTAAACCCTCTGGGGGAGTGTGTGAGTAGCACCTGGGGCACTGAGGACACTGAGCTCAAGCCTCTCCGCTTTCTTTCCCTGTTGGGATGTGGCCAAACCCTGCCCCTCAGGGTTTCCACCTCAGCGCGGGGAAGCAGTGCTGTGCCGCTCCTCCCGCTCCTCCCGAGGCCGCCGTTTCATTCAGCAGCAGCGCACTCAGATCTGTTGCCAAAGGGAACGCCTGGGTCCCTGTCATCCTAACCAACGCCCTTGCCACCTGTTTGCTGTACCAGTAGGCACTTTTTTTTTTAATCCTCACCCGAGGACATTTTTCCATATTTTGTTTGGAGAGGAAGAGAGAGAGAAACATTGACGTGAAAGGGACACATCGAGTGGCTGCCACCCACACGACCCAACCAGGGCTGGGGACAAACTGCAACCGAGGTACATGCCCTTAGCGGGAACCGAGCCCAGATCTCTCTGGACTACAAGCTGACGCTCTAACCGCTGAGCCAAACCGGCCAGGGCAGTGGGCACTTTTTATACAAGAATGCACCAATTATAAATCCTCACCAGAACTTGATGTGTTAGCCAACCTCTCCCAGCAGTGTCTCTGAGATGCAGGCCACTGGTTATGTCCACGTTGTGGTTCAAGGAGGCCACATGACTTTTCCAAAGTCACATAAGTGAGAGGCAGACAATCTAGAATCTGTGAACAGTGCCCAGGAGTCACAAGCTGGTAGCGTGTGGGGAGAGGCTTCTTGGGCCTCCGCAGTGTGTTTGGATGTGACCCCTATTTTAGTTTTTTAGCACCAGACTGTCTCACACACTGACGGTGCCCGCCTGCCTCTGGGGAGAGAACACACTCAGGTCACGCTGACTGAAGCCACCGTCGGCTCTGCTCCAGCCGCGCTCTGCGATGGTGTAAAACAAGCACCCGGCCTCTGCTCTTTCACGCAGGTCATCTCACTCAGTATTCCTGACGGTTTTATAAAATAGGGAGCCTAATCCGCCTTCTCCAAGAGGAATCTGGGCCTTCAAGAGATTAAATTGTCCAGTGTACACAACTAGTACAGGTGGCCAATCGAGGTGCAACTCCCAATTTCATTTCTCTCTCTTTTTAAAATATTTTTTATTGATTTTTTAGAGAGAGAGGAAGGGAAAGAGGTAGAAACATCAATGAGAGAAACATCGACCGGCTGCCTCCTGCATGCCCCCACCTGAGGATCAGACCGGGACCTCTCAGTCCATGGGACGACGCTAAGCCACGGAGCCACGGAGCCACACCGGCCGGGCTCATTTCTCTTTATAGTTGCTCAGCTGTAAAATGGGGATAAAAATCACTCCTACCTCAGAGACTGTTAAGACTATTGAATAAATTATTCACATAACATGTTTAGCATGGTACCCGACACTCCGCAACCATTCAACAGATGACTTATAATAATTTTTATTATAAACGTTCAGCAGAAAGGCCCCAATACACGTCAGAAATAAAAAATATTTGGTGGGGTTCTATATAATTTTCTTGTCAGTCTTGACCATAAACTTGAGCCTCTTTCTCGTTTTCCTTATTCCTGAGTGATCTCCTTTTCACGAGCAATAGATATTCCTCCAAATTTACTGAGAAAATACAGTCCATGAGAAATGTGTCTCGACCTCCCAGCATGTCAGTCACAGTCCCTCCTCCCTCCCACCTCACAGGAAGGCTATCCCTACGGCCGCAGCCCGGGGCAGACCGCGCTGCTCCTTGGAGTTCATACTGCTCCTCTCCAAACCGGGCTCCACCAATGTTTCCCTCTTTTATCATAAATCTTGTCTTTGTTGGGACTCCTGCCAGCCATGCTCAGAACTACTCATCCCAAGGAGAAAAAAGAGAAACACAGTTTGGAAAGGATGGAGGTCGTCGTTACAGATGGTGACACGGAGGGCCCCTGACTCCCCCCCTCCCACAGACACACGGAGCAGTTTCCTCTGAAAGAAATCCAGAAACTAACTGAGTGACTCTCATTTTCCGGGGGAACCAGAAGACACCCACATGGAAACGAGTAAGAAAGGCCAAGCTGCACTCTGGCATAAGCGCCACACGATCCGGAGGGAACCCACCAACCTGTTCTCCCTGCGGAGTGAAGGCTTTGGACCCCACACCTGGCCCTGAAAGCCGACGGGTTTGCATCCATGAGACCACAAGCAGCAGTTATTAGGGGGAACAAGCACTCACTCAGCTGTGACCCAGGATCAGTGCAAAGGGAGCAGGCAAGACACCCATTTCTGTCTTTTCCTGAGTGGGGGCGATTAGCACACTTGAACAGCTGCTGCCCAAGGGCCAGGCTTCTAACTAAGCGCACACCTGGGGCTGAAATCTTCCCGGAGACCAGGGAGCACCTTCCCTGCCCTCGCCTGCTCCGAGTCTCCAGTGTCTCCCTGGGAGAAACTCACACACACATCAGTGACTCAGGTCCTCAGATCACCTGGCTGACAGCCAATGGGGCTTCCATTCAGGGCTCCCACAGACCATCCAAACAAAGAAGTTTCTAGCTGGCCATCTCCGCAGGGCCCAGTGTACAGGGCTCAGAGGGAAATGCCCATCTCCCAGGCTGTCCCTGGAAGAGATCTATTTGCATAGCTCAAAAGCTGCTGACTGCATCCTCCCCAAAGAACAAGGACACTGCAGACACCTCCTCTGCCCCCTCCTCTATCCCACTCCAGTCCCACCAGGTTCCCTCTGCAAGGAGCCCGCACACCTGTCTGGTGCCCTAGCATTTGTGGCTGCCACCTAAAGGACAGGCCCCAGACTGTCATTCATGACTTAATGAGGCTCACATTCACGAGTCCCACAGGACTGTAGCAAACGAAGAAATAGTTTTTAACAGGCTCAGGAGTACCATCTGCAACTTTCCACTGGGGCCCAGTGCAGAGGAGCAGGCAAAAATTCCACCTTCCAGTTTCTTCCTGGAAGACACCTAACTGCACACTTTCCCAGCTGGTACCTGAGGGTACAGCTTCCAGCGGGCCTGCTTGTAGCTGCTGGCTGAGGTCCTCCCCTTTGGGACATTGACAGGTCTTGGCACAGTCAACTATTGGGAGCCATGAGGAACAAAGTACGTGTTCAAGCACAAAGGTTGGAGAAATAGGAGCATAGGCTGGGATGCTGGGTGCTAGATGAGGTTTATCTTCTATACAACACCACTCTTGCCCTGGACGGTTTGGCTCAGCAGTTAGAGCGTCGGCCTGCGGTCTGGAGAGACCTGGGTTCGGTTCCCGCTAAGGGCACGTACCTCGGTTGCAAATGTCCCCAGCCCTGATTGGGTCATGTGGGTGGCGACCACTCAATGTGTCCCTTTCACGTCAATGTCTCTCTCTCTCTCTCTCTCTCTCTCTCTCCCTCCCTTCCTCCCACTCTATCTGAACAAAATATCAAAAAATGTCCTCGGGTGAGGATTAAATAAATAAATAAACAAACAAACAAACAAATACCACCACTCTGTCAAGGCCGGGAGAGGTGGCTGTTTTACCTAATGCATGGAAACCAGCACAGAGAGTCAAGAAAAATGAAGAAACAAGAATATGTTCTAAACAAACAATAAGATGAAACTCCAGAAACAGATCTTCCTAGAACAGATAGGAGTTACCTGATAGAGAGTTCAAAATAATGGACAGAGAGATGGAGAGCATGCATGAACAAACTGAGAATTTCAACCTAGAGACAGAAATACAAAAAAGTACCAAACAGTTTACAGGGCTGAAGAAAACATTAACTGAACTAAAAAATTCAATACAGGGGTTCAACATCAGACTAGATCGATCAAAATAAAGAATCAGTAACTCAGCAGGGTAGTAGAATTCATTCAACCATAGGAGCAAAAGACAGAAGACTGAAGACAGCTTAAGGGACCTATAAGACACCATCAAATAGACCAAAATATACATTTAAAGGGGTTCAGAAGGAGAAGAGAGAGAAAAAGGGAGGCAGAAAGCTAATTCAAAGAAATAATGGTTGAAAATCTTTTCTAACCTAGGGAAAAACAGACATCCAGATTTAGGAAGTTCAAATTCCCCAAAAAAGATGAATGTGAAGAGACCTACAATGAGGCACTTCATAATTAAATTGCCAAAATTAAAGACAAGGAGAGAATCTTAAAAGCAACAAGAGAAAAACTACTTTTTACATACAGGGAACCCCCATAAGAGTATCAGCAGATTTTTAGATTTTTAAACAGAAA